ATTCAAAGGCCATTCCTGACGTAAGTTCGCTATGACAATTAAGGCTCGCTCATCTCAACATCCAATACATGAATGATCTTGTTTCTAGCAAAATGGTCCGAGTTCTGCTATTCCTCAAATTTGAAAATAATCATCTCTGTGGTACTTGTGAATGTGGAAAGCAAATAAAGAAAGGTCATCCTGTCATTAGTGAAAATTCCATTTCGGATCCACTGGAACTTCTTTATATCGATCTCTGCGGGCCATCTACCATAGAAAGTCTACATCACAAAAAGTATATTCTTGTGATTGTTGATGACTACACAAGGTTCACTTGAGTCTTTTTCCTAAGGCTAAAATCCGAAAGAACTTTTGAATTCATAAACTTCATCAAAGGAATTGAAGTACTTGTTAAACTTCCTATTAAAAGAATCCTAAGTGACAATGGCTCTAAGTTTACAAATGCCACCATTGAAACATTCCTCGCCGACAAAGGCATCGAGCACAACTTCTCAGATCCCTACACACCTAGGCAAAATAGTGTGGTTGAAAGAAGAAACCGAACTCTTGTTGAAGTCGCTCAATCGATGTTGAACTATGGAAACCTTCCTCTCTATCTCTGGGCCGAAGTGATCTCTAGTTCTTGCTTTACCCAAAATCAAAGCATCATCAATCGTCGTCTCAACATGACACTATATGAAGCCATGAATGGTCGCAAGTCGGGTATCTCGTTCCTACATGTTTTTTGCTGTTGATGCTTTATCAAAAACAACCGTGATCAACTCACCAAGTTTCAACCCAAAGCCTACGAATCCATCTTTTTGGTTTACTTAACCAAGTCTAAAGCTTACAGAGTTCTGAATCATAAAACTCGTGTACTTGAACAAAGCTTCGAAGTCACTTTTGATGATAATTTTATTTGGAATTCAGATACTGCTCATGTTACAACTCATATCATGGATCCGATGCTCCAGCTCCTGAGTCTCTAAATCCTCAAATTATCCATGAACTTGGTTTCAAACACTTATTTGGACCACTAGAAACTGCTCTTGATTCGGAATCTCAATCAAGACCATCCTCATCAATGGAAGCTCCGATCCCTCAAAATTTCTCTGTTCTAAACCCAATCTTTCCTCCATTTGATTTCGATCCATTTCAACCTTCTCAGTTTGAGGGGAGAATAGTCATCCAACCCTCGAATCAAATGTTGATGGATTTCAAGATGCAGCAGATCAATTTGCTAACTTCTTTGATTTTCCAAACAATGACGACGTTGAAATATCTAGTTAAGAAGTTCAAGGGGAGCATCATCCTTAAATTCAAATTGTTTAGGGGGTGCAACATAACCTCGTTGTTGATATCGGATCTTCCACTGCCCAAGAGCTTCCAAGATTGCATATCTAGACAAAGGATCATCCTCCAAATCAAGTCATCGTAAATATCGACACTGGTGTTCAAACTCGCTCTGCTACAAAAATTCAAAATGATTGTCACTTCTCGACATTTATATCAACGGTTGAACAAAAATCCATCAAGGAAGCTTTAGAACATTCTGATTGGATTATAGTCATGTAAGAAGACTTAGCAGAATTTGATAGAAATCAACTGTGGAGTCTTGTGCCTCCTCCTTAGGATCACCATTTTATTAGCACAATATGGGTCTTCCGAAACAAACTCGACGATGACGGATTTATAATTAGAAACAAAGCGGGATTGGTGGCTAAAAGATTTACTTAGACCGAAGGACTCAACTATGAAAAGACCTTTTCTCTCATTGTTCGTTTTGAAGCTATCCCAATATTTATCGCTTATGCTGCTCATAAAGGCTTTAAGCTTTACCAAATGGACGTAAAAAATTCCTTTCTTAATGGTAAACTTGATACCAAAGTGTATCTTCAATATTGAAAATACTATTACAAACTTCAAAAAGCTGTTTATGGTCTCAAGCAAGCTCCACGCGCTTGGTACAAGACTCTCACTGAGTTTCTGAAGCGTTCTGGTTTTCAAAGAGGAATTCTTGATCCTACATTATTTCGAAGATTGATTGGAAATCATCTCATGTTAGATCAAATATATGTTGATGAAATAATCTTTGGATCAACGTATTCAATGATGGTTGCTGATTTCGCAAAGTTAATGGTTAGTCGATTCCAAATGAGCATGAACCATGAATTAAGCTTATTCCTTGGTCTGAAAGTTAAGCAGACCACCAGAGGAATTGATATTCATCAGGATAAATACATTTTTGAACTTTTGAAAAAATATTCAATGGACACCCGTGCCTCAGCAAAGGTTCCAATGGGGTTCGGACACAAGATCTTCTCAGACCCATTAGGTGTTGCTATTGATCTGAAGAAGTATAGGGGAATGATTGGATCGCAACTGTACCTCGCTGCAAGTAGAATGGACATCATGTTCGCTACATGTCTATGTGCTAGATTCCAGGTCAATTCGAAGATATCTCAGATTCTGGCTGTCAACTAATTTTTCCAATATCTCAAATGAACAGAAAACCTCATAAATTGGTATCCGGAAAATGAAAGTTTCCTTCCTCAAGCCTACTCCAACTCAAACTATGGAGGTCTTAAACTAGATAAAAAAAGCATATCTGGAGGTTGTCAGTTTTTAGGTGGAAGATTAGTTAGGTGGTCATCCAACAAAATAGAACTATATTGCTCTCTCAATGACCGAAGTAGAATACATTGCTACTGCAAGCTGAACTTTGCAAGTTCTTTGGATAAAATCTTAGGTTATGGAATGTGATTATCGATTTCAATAGATCCCAATCTATTGTGACTCACAAATTGCAATTACGATTTCTCATAATCCAATTCAGCACTCCATGATCACGCACATTTACATTCGATACCATTTTATTAAAATAATGTTTTAAATGGTAATACCGAGCTCATTTTTGTTCTATCTAATGATGAAACTCTTGATTTCTATACTAAAGCATTAGATAAAACCACATTTAATGGGTTTCTGAACAAAATGGGAATGATGATGCCTGATCGTCAATTCTTCCAAGAGGATTGTACTCTCTAATGGAAACATTAGAAAGTAAAGCAATTCCAAAGTCAAATTCTTTTCACCTTAGAATTGTTTCCTCTTGGAAAGTATAGGATCATTATATATATATATATATATATATATATATATATATATATATATATATATATATATATATATATATATATATATATATATATATATATATATATATATGTCTAACCTCTTCTTCTAGCTTTAAGTTGTTTTAGCCTTCCTTATTAGATGAAGTTTTTACTGATATTGTTACATTGGATTGCATGAGAAATTCACTTTTTGGAGTATGTGTCACAATAAGCATGTGTTATGAAGTTCATCTCAGAATTTAAATCCGAATCGATATTATGAATTCATCTCTTATCTTCTTCCGAGCTCTGTTCCTTCAATTCTCGAAATATCAAATCTATTAAATCTGGTCCTCTAACATCTTCATGCATTTTTACCTTTGGTATTCAGTTTGAGACTATGCCATCTTGAACTCAATATTACGTACTAATGATGTGTTTATATTCTTTTTGAAATATCTTATGACATCTAGTCTTGGAATCTGATTGTTCTGACACCCTCATAAATAAAAGAATTTTAAGGTTATCATTAAAGTTTTTATTTCAAAACATTTTTAATCAATACATTAACAATAATTTTTCTTCATGATTATCCTTTTAATTCTCAATAAACATGCTTTGGCACATGTTCCAATAAAGCAAATGAGTGAAATCATAACCGAATCAACAATTTTTTCTTTTGAACAAACAAACGTCCCGTCTTTAGTTCGAAACAGTCATTCAAGAAACCGTTTTAGGAAATTATTTAATACGACCCATTTTGTGTTCGGGTGTCATCCTTCTTTTCTTCAACGCGACCCAAAATATCCAAATTATAAAAGGATTTTGAATCCTAACTATTTCCACTTTTCACTTTTGTTATTGTTTTCCTAGAGCCTTTCTCTCTATACTCTGTTCTTCAAGCTATCAAACCTTCATCGATGGTGTCTTCTCGTACAGCTCCTCAAGTTTCCAAACCTTCAACGAAGAATAAATCTTTAAAGGGTTCCTCCTCATCTTCAACCACTCAACTATTTTCCCTTTATCCTATGGATTACAATGAATCCATCTGCATCATGATGGAGTTCATCTCCCGCCACCCCATTGCAATTCCTATCACCAAAATACCTCACCCAAAACTTCCTCTTCATATTCTTCACAGAGCATTTAAATGAATCAAGATTGAAGATGATGTAGTGGAGGTGAAGATCGTTGATGAAAAAATTCTTCCTCTTCACAAGAACACCTTCCTTAAGGCCATCAACATTGCTAAAAACCCAAAGGTTTTGTGTTCAAGAACCAAAAAATGAAGAGTTTTAGTAGTTTCTAAATCAAATTGGTTATAATGGAGAATTCAAGGCAAAAGAGTTCAAGAAGTCTGTTGTTCCTGGCCTCTGGACCGTACTGATGCATGTAATCCTTCAAGGAATGTCTGGAAAACATAATGGTACAAACACCATGAGCAAGGACTGGATGTATGTTGTGTATAGCCTTTGCCCCGGAAGAGACAATGTAGTTGACTTAAACAAGGTTCTATGGCAAGACGTTCGGAAATTCACCATCAAGAGGAAGCCCCAAGAGATATCCAGTTCGAGGATCTGGGCTCTGATGCTTCAACAACTATACGATGAAATATGAGAATCCATTCCTCTCAACTCCAATCTCAACGAGGTATATTGTTCCTTTAAAGCTATAAAAACTTATAGTTTACCTAACCAATCAGCTTTCGGACCTATCTGATGTTTTCCAGAACACATGTTAGCTACAGTTCCATCCAATTCACTATATCTCAAACATCATCTTTAGATTTCATTTTGTATGACCCCACACAATCTACCACTAGCTTGGATGATCCCACCTCGGATGTGAAAAATCAACTTACTCAGGAGGACGTAAGAAGAAGATGGCCAAACGAATCTTCTCAACATGATTAACAGATTAATAGATTGGCATTCGATCTTACTCTGGATATCACAACCAACCCATGCCATCAACTCCTTGGAGGTACCCTTCGGAGTTTAAATATCACACGCACACACTCACATGGTGTATGTACATAATCTACCCAAAAAAATCACAATCAGGGGGCACCTCTCTTTGGTTCTAAGCTTTTTGAAGTTGGAGAAATTTTCTGCAACTGTGGAAGCCATAACCAGTCTGATACCTGGTTCAGGTAAAGGACAATCGGGTATATTTGACAAAGATTGGTCTAATATTGTTGACAGATGTCATACCAGGAATTTAGAGCTAACTAGAGCACAAGTTGAACACACGCTTATCTCTAAGTGTCAACGCGCTGAAGTCGTCTTCCTTTTACTTTCCCATCCGATAAAGAGACTGATCATGTGTTCAATCTTTCCGAAGAAGCTCAAAAAACTATAATAGGAGATGTTCCCGACTTTACAAATGTTTCAGATGATCCTCCTCCAACATTCACAAGTGGAGAAAGTCCCAAGCCTCCTACAGATGAGGAACTCTTAGATGATTTAATTTTCGAAGATAAAAACAAATCAATTGGTGCTATTGTGATCCTGCCGTCCTTTAATATGTTGCAAAATCCTTCTTCCTAGAAACGTTTTTATGATTTTGGTCTCTCCTCATCCTTCAAGGAATCCACAGAAGAAGCATATTATGAAGCCAATAAGCACTCCTCTCTTATAGTTATCCTGGAAAATAATCAAGGTAATGAGGCTTCAGCAAATCCGATTGATGACTCCAAGCCTCCGAACCACAAGGTGATGATGATGATGATGATAATAAAAAATCTGAGGGTTCTACCTCGGATACAGGATCATCAGGAGAAAATACGACAGATCCTTTTGCCCTATTAGAAGTCAAAGACAATGTTGCCTCTACCATCACCAAAGTCGACTCCCTCGATCATAAAGTCGTAGGCCTTGATTCAAAGATTGGTCAAAATGTTACAAGTCTTGACTCCAAGAAAGATCTCATCCTTAAATATCTTTCCAAGATCCAAGTTGCCACTCCTTGGAAATTGACTGAGCCAACCAACTTGATCAACTCATCTCCCTTTGGATCAAGTTCACCATTAATGAAGTTGAACATATCTATAATGACAGACTCAATCATAACATCGCAACCACCACCACCACCATCATGCTAAAGATTCATGACTACATGATTAATGATACTAATGAACTCATCAAGCGGACTCATGTTCTTCATGAGAAACATATTCAAATACTAGAAAAAGAGATTCGCAAAAAGGATACATTGAACATGATAACGCAACATGTGCTTATCAAGCTGATCTGAGCAACCTGAAATGTCATTGATGTATTGAATAATAAGTTTAATGAGATCTTCGTACTTTTGGATGCAACATTTGCCCACCTAAAGGCTCAAGCTCCCACAGTAGAGGAGTACGATGCTGTCACCACACAAGTCAAAACTAGTTTCCAACGAGTCTTTGAATGGTTGGAGGAACTCAAAACCGAATATGTACTTGCATCGGAGGCAGGTCCATCCCATGCAAGAGGGGGAGAAAGAGAAAGAAGAGAACAAAATACAACAGCTGTCTCGGAGTTTATGTTCCGAGATGAATCAACTGATGAAGAAATTCTTGAAGTCGAATCTCCTGAATAAAGTGATGAAGAAGATGAAGACCGGGTTGAAAATGTGATCTTAGGACTTCAAGCCCTCAAGGAACAACCAATGCATGTCCTTTTGGATGTATAGAGGAAAAATGGTCATCGATTTCTTGGCTATCATCCTTAGCTGATGTGTTCAGACGAATTTAAGACATGGCAAAGCTCAAGGATAAGCTGATTGTTGATGCATTCTTAGCTACTCAATCTATGCTTCTACCAATTCCTGTTCCAACTAAATTATTCATCACCAAATCTAGTCAACAAATCATCTGCTCCATCTCAGGTGCAAGAGAAAATCCACAAGACAAAGGAAATCAGATTGCAACAGACTCTGACAGCCCACTGAATACGTTTAAAAAGTCCGAGGGTTGGTTTCTAGAACAAATAGATCAAACTTTGGAAGAAAGAATTTGGATTAAAACACTTAAAGAAAATCTGAATCTAATGTTGGGCATATCTCCTCTTTTCCAGGGAGTTATTCATGACATACACTATGTGACCTTCATGTACTATGAGCTTCCAACACAAGACGCTGATCAACCTGACCTGCCGATCTCTCCTTATCGTTGTTTCTATATGAAGTACGCTCCTCTACATCAGAATGATGATCCTCAAACTATCATCATAACAGAGCATGAGAGATTTAGAACCTTTTAGTGAATCAACACACAACCCCAAAAGGAATTGGGTCTCGAAAGAGGATTACCAAGATTATCGGATATGGTAACAAGGTTCAGAGCAATTTTGATCTCAATTACTTGATGTACAGATACTAGGTTTCTCGAGACAAAGAGTTCACCATCACCATCAAGGATACAGACTTTCCTTCGATCAACCTAAATGACATTCTCACCATAGCTGCTCACTTCTGAGATCGCCAATAAAATGAAATAAGCATTGGAGCCTACAGTGCCACAATAAATTTCTTGAAGGACTATATTGTTGACTTCTGCAAATCTGACATTGAATTTTGTTACTTGTTAGGAACAAAGAGCATTTTGGCAAAAATCACTACCGAACTCCCTGAAGCACAGATATTGCGATAAGGCCCCGTTGAAGAACCAGAACTTGGTTAGGTCTATCACAAAAATAATAATAATCGAAAGGAATTATTTAGAGTTCTTTGACAAACACCTTGTTCCAACAAAGATCTTTCAGAAGTTAATCTCCAACGCTGCCAAAAGTGGCTCACTTGAGCATGTCAAGAAGAAGTTCATTGAGCACCTCAAAAGGTACTTAGAAGTCCGAAGCTAGCTTCATAGTGCTTATCTCTTCATATTTGATGAAGCTAAGTGAAGAGTTGTTTGATTGCTAAGTTTACTTAAGGGGAGATTATTGATACATGAAAGTGAACCCCTAGCAATCCGAACTCAAGCTAAAATCAAACTCAAGTGCATTCCGAGATGTTATGAGTTCTAAGATTGAGCTAGTTCGAAATGAATACAATTCCAAGAAGCACCTTGTAGTCAGTGCTATTTTAAGTTTGTATTTGCATTTAATGTTTCTTGTCTTTTAGTGTTTGTTCTATTGTAAAGTTCATGTGACAAGATCGATAAAATCATAGTGTCAACTTTTTGACTTTCAACTTTATGTTGTTCATGCAGTCTTCTCGGTTTTGTTGGATTAGGTGTCTAAGCCCATAACTATAATTGGTATGTAGTCGACCCGATAGTAGCTTGGTACATTTTGGTTGCATTCACCAGAGCAATTTGATCCGAAGGATATTTGAGAAAGAGGTTATTTGTGATTTATTAATATATTATAAGAATAATATATTAATTGAGAAATCATATTATTTAATTGGTATTGATCAAGATTTAATTTGGAATTAATGTAGTGATCAAAAGAGACTAATTAAATCAATAGCGACTGATTATGTAAATCAGTAATACATATAGTTTGAGCAAATGATCCATGATTGATTAGTGATAGACTAAGCTTATGTGAGAGTCCATGAAGTGTTAGTCCAAATTAATTATTAGGTCAAAAGCCTAAGTGAATGGATTAGTCGAACGGGTAGGATAAGACAAGTTTGTCTTACCGTTAGTAGGCCTCATTCACGAAGCTAGTCTATAAGGGGAGGGGGTATAAGGAAATTTCCTATAAAATGGCGATTGAATGGGTATCCACTCTCACCCACCGCTTCCTTGATTGGTGGAGGGTCGTTAGCCGAACGGGTAGGATAATACATTAATACTCGTTAAAACGTATAATGATAATTATAAAAGTAACTAAATGTTATTTTATAAATTCCCAATCTTAGCTACGTTAGGAAAAATGTGAAAATGGTGCTATTCCATAAAATTTCACTTTGCACCTTGCCAAGTCATTAGTGGAGCGTGTGTGGTTAACCAACACACTAACTTGGACTAGCAAGGGTGGAAAAGGGTAGATCGATGTTCATCATAGATCAATGGAGCATGTGTAGTTAACCGACACATTGATTAGGTGATAAATGACATCAAGAGTACCAAGCACATTTGCATGGTTATTCACACCTTGTTTGTGATCCTCGATATCACAATCACAAACTTGAAGAGCATAATTGAGATTTAAACATACCATTGAAAAGTTCAATGAATCTCAAAAGAATCTAGAAATTTTAATTCATTTAAAACTTAATCCTCAATTTCGTTTTTTATGGTGGAAATTAGTAAATTGTCATTTACCTACCTTCAAATATTTGCAGTTTGATTATAGTGTCCCTCTTCGGAATTGTGAAATATTGTGTTGGTTCCTAGCCTTAATTTTTTATTTGGGTGTTATATCAAGGATTCTTATCTAATCTAAAAAATTTCTTTCTTTTTAGATGTCTACCCCAAACGCTGCTGGCTCCAACCCTTCCGACTCTTTCTCCCTCATGAACTTATATGGAAGTTTGATTTTTGATGGGTCGAATTTTGATGGTTGGATTCAAAACACACGGATGGTCACTCGTTACAAGGATAAGGAATATGTCCTCAATAAATATCTAGAGGAGGTTGACGAAGCAATTGCTACTCCTGAAGAAATTACTGAATATAGGGCTCATAAGAAGGACGCGACAAAGGTGTCGTGCATCATGCTTACCACTATGACAGTTGAACTCCAAAAGTGCTATGAGGACTACAATCCATTCGAGATGCACCAAGACTTGATGGAAAGGTACCATCAAGGTGATCGACAGGAAAGATATGAAATCATTGCCTCCATGATAACAACAAAAATGTAGGATGGAGAGTCCATCACGGCCCACTTGCAAAAGATGGAAAAGTTTGTGGACCGCTTGCTGAAGTTGAATGTCAACTTCGATGAAGAGTTGGCTATTGACATTATCCTGCACTCTTTGCCTCGTTGTTATGATCAGTTTAGAATGACTTATCATATAAACAAAGAGGAAGTCACTTTAAGCAGGCTTCAAGGCCTTCTCAGAACTACTGAAAGTAGTTTGAAAGGAAAATATATTGTACATACTCTTACAGCTACTGCCCCCATCGTGGCAATTGGACTTGGGAAAGGGAAGAAAAGGAAGGCTCCTTCTAAGATCCATAAGGGAAAGTCCCATTATGGATCCTCTTCTAGTGGGACCAAAGGTTGTTCTGCTACTCCCTCTTCCATTCTGAAAGAAGCAGAGTGCTTCTACTGTCATGGAAAAGGGCATTGGAAATGAAGTTGCCCCAAATACTTGCAGGACATCCAGGACAAGAATATAAATCCCACCTTCATAGGTATTTATACTATTCATTCTAATAACTCATCACATGATAATTCTTAGGTCCTTGATACAAGATATGGTTTTCACATTTGTTCTAATTTGCAGGGTCTAAAAAGAAGTAGGGATGTTGAGAATGGGAAGGTGAACCTGATCACGGGAAATAGGAAAGTATCGCCTGTCATCAAGATTGGAGTTTATTCTTTATTGATTAATAATAGATTAGAGTTAGATTTTAATAATTGTTGCTACTTGTCAGGTATGGCGA